TGTGTGTGTGTGTGTGTGTGTGTGTGTGTGTGTGTGTGTGTGTGTGTATGTGTGTACGAATGCATTATTATAATAATACATGTAGTGGTATGTAGTTTATAACGGATCGGCCACACATGTACACCATGGAGTGATGAACTATCGAAAAATCTCAACAATGGTACAACAACTATAAATGTGTACATATAGTATTGTAATGAGTGGTTACGGATTGACAGTGCAAAATATATACGTTTATAGTATCTATATATTATTAATATCGAAATACCAATAATAATGTGACAGATAATATCGTATTTATACTAATTTAAACGAATGACTTTAATATTAAAAAATATTCGATTCAAATAATTACACAATGATCAATCGAATGATACACAAGCTCCATGTGTGATTATTAGTACTTGTAACTGCAATGTTTTCACGTTTATGTTACCAGGTATTTACCGTAGTATTATCTGCAGTATTTACGTTTTGATCTATAACATTGATAGATGACCATAAAATTCGGGTTAATACATATATATATATATATGTGTGTGTGTGTGTGTGTGTGTGTTTTCTAAATCTCAATAACATTGAAATTCTTTCTCATTTGTACATTTACTCGGTGTATTATATTTTTTCCTCTCTATTAGTTTTGTTTCTCAGAATAGAAGATGTATAAAAACCGTATCTGTCTTCGGAGGTTTTTTTCTTCTTGTATATTTTCGTAGTTCAACTACAAAATAATGGTGACCACTAAAATTTTATTAGTTATTTAATTTTTCACGGTTTTTTTTTTTATTTCCTTCTTTATAAAGTAACTTGTGTATGATTCATCATAAGGCGAATTCTTAATACCAAAAACCCAAATTTGATTGCATGTTCATGGGAATGAATATTTTTTGTTCAAGCAGACACTGGAATAGATACTTCTATATTAAACTACAGTGCAATAATATTGTGTTGGATTTACAAAGGATGAAATATAAGTACGTATGGTTTTACGTAACAACCAAATCGTTTTTACATGTACCATAATAATTATTATTTTTGATCTATGTGAAAAGTTAAAACGTGATATTTGTGTGTGTAGATAATTATTGTAATTTTTCGAAACACATATACGTCGTCGCATTACGTGTTCGAGTAGGATTCAAAAACTTTTTAGAGGTGGTGTATGGGTAATTTTATTTGCAACACGATAGTGTATAATTAACGGATTCCATAGATTATGACGGTAAAGAATTTAATATCCTCATCCGCGCGCGTGATTTCAGCACTCGCGTGCGATAATGAATGATGATGATTATAGGAGGTAGTCACCGTACGGCTTAGCAATCGTGCATATTATAGTAATTATATTTATACAGTGTCGAAGAAATCCGAGAAAAAATTAATGACAACAAATAATAATTAATAATACCTAATATACCACACGAGCGCCTGCGTGTGCTACCGTTTTGTAAGACGCGATAGCATCTTTGCAACAAGCCAGTGAAGAAGACCGTTATTATACGTTTTGATGGTTATAGTAAATAATATTAATTATGTATATATATACAACATATATTCGCTCATGGTGTGATTTGTCACCAAACGATTAGTCTTTCACGAGGGACCTTCGAATTCCGTCAATGCCACCGACGAGATGATGCGACATCGTGCGTATAATAGTTAGTATATTTACAGTGAATCGATGTTCCTGGAAAACTTATATTTTCATAATATTTATTATAACTTTAGCACTTGGACGTTTTAGATTTTGACATTATTAATGTTTCGAGAAAAACAACAAACGTAATACATCTATGTGTATTATATT